CTGTCTTTAGACCCGCCACCTGACTGAAAAAGATGTAGTGGAGGTTAGGAAGGCCGATGTATATGGAGCCGAGCTCATCCTTGAGGACCACGTCCACATGTTTGCGGAGCTCGGAGGAGTTTGCGAAGCTGCTCGTGTTGATAGACCGCGGAGTTTGAAGAAGGTAAGATGCTATCGGTCGGGGAGGCGGGGTGGCTTCGGTAACGGCACAGTACACTTGGCGCCAGATCTCATCGTCGGGCTTATTGGCGAGGACTGCATTGAGAAGTGGTTCAAATTGGTCCGAGTCGAAGTTGTACAAGTCGTCGGAGATGAGGGCGGGTATGCGTTTCAACAGATCGATTTGAAGGGTACCACGGCCTGTATTCGAATGTAGAAGAGAGGTAATAGGGAGGATTTAGAGTGTGTTCAGAAGTCTAAACGCAAGAATCTGCAAATCTAAACAGCGGTTAGATGGGCATCTCGGCAACGCGGGCCTGTCTCATTCACCTTGTGGGCCCAGCTGACTGAGCGCGTCTGGCGCAGGACAGGAGATGCCCCTGTCTTTACAGACTGATTCGAACGAAGCACGGAAGGCATCTAGGCCTGTGCCGATGGGATGATCTTGGATGATCTGTTGCTGATCGAGGACGAGCGCCTGAGCCCGATCCGTCATGGCGATGGTGATTATATTCTTGAGACGCGGCTATGGAGTGGTCGAAGGTCGCGTCGTGAAATGTCGCGTCTAGTCTAATCACGTGGTAAACTGTCAGAATGACGGACGGTTGAGACGTTGGGAACAATAGGTTAGGAAAATGATTCATTGGCGGCTTAGTTGGAGAAAGTAAAATGGAATGATAACTGCATTCGCCAAAAGTAGTTTGAAGGGGAGAAGAAGACAAGAGTGGGTCACAAACGAAAGAGTGACTCGGGTGGCCAGGTAACGGCCCAGATTCAGATCACGATCAGTTGAGGTTCATTTGATGACAGCGTCGAAGGCGTCGGGGGTGTGGTGATCATGGTCACTGTATGAACTTCTTTTTCATTCGAAAGAGGATAAATGGTCCGGTTCTGCGTGGTCTTCAACAAATCATAGCGGCCGTCACGTACCTATTTACTGCGCACAAGAGGGCACAAATGCTAGAGCGGAAATTTGATGAAGACGTGGCTGGGGGTTATGTAGGGTGCTTTTGTGGGGTCAAAAGCCACTTTGGACGGTCTCTCGAGCAACGAGGCCCAATGACCGGTTTTCTGGATTCGATAGTCCTGCAGGTAAGGAGGCGGTTGGCGCCGCATGGTGATGTGGCAGGTTCAATGGATGGTTTGAGGGTGGCTTGCCTGAGTATGGGTGTAGGGATGGTAGGGCAATGTTGACTAAGGTAGTGTGGAACTTCAAACACTTCAGTTCGTTTAGGCCCCGAAGGCTCGCAGGAGGCTTGCGTCGATGCCAAAGATGAGGAGTTTTGGATTGCTCGTGATAATGGCCTGGTTGTCTGTGTAGGAGATGGTCTAGACTTTTTCATGGGAGAGGGGAAAGAAATGTTGAGGCGTTCGAGAGAGAGATTGGAAAGCATGACGGCAGTTTGCGGCCTGCTACATTTTCGAGCTACCCTGGCGGGCAGGGTGCACACCTTGCGGGAAGATGAAGTGAACACGGGAGATATCTCAACCGGCAATGGTGTTCATACGACATGCCCCTGGCTTGGTTGACAAGGGTTGATGGCCGCGTGCCATTTTTGAGTGTCGATCACTTTGAACAACCAGGAAAGCCCAAAAGAGGCACCCGTCGACGCCTCATCCAATGATCGTGGTTATGTGGAGCATCACTCATGGATCCTCCGCAGAAAGAGTGGGTTGCGTTCTCGAGAAGATGGTGTGGTGAGTTGTCATCAACAACACGGGACAAGGGGTTCAGGAACACCTGCTACATCTTGGTAAGTTTGATGAAATTTTCAAGACCTGGCGCCGCAACAGGCGGGGACGCGGGGACTTGGTGATGAAACTTTGCACGATCCGGCTCTGAAGCACACCATGTGAATGTAAAGTTCTTTCGTGCAGACTTCATGGGACGAATAAGGAAGTCCAAGAAGGCGCACTGCCCCGCTGAGCTAGGAGAACAGGAGCATTCATTAGCTTCACATTCCCCACGTTACATTTTCGTTACCGATAGCATGGAACCCAGTGTAAACACGAACAGCGCCAGTTGGCTCGGTGTTGTGGTGGGGCCTGTCCCACCCCTGCCACTCACTGGCCTTGTTATGTGGGTCCATGAGCTCACACCACCATTGTATTTAGCCCTCCACATTTCTTTTTCCTTTCTTGTCTCCTGAGCTTAACACAATCAACACACTTCTTGTGCCCACGAGTCCAAGACTCGGATTTGGAGGATAGTGTTTCTGAAAGTCCGAGGAAAGCACAGGAACATCGTGAACATTGGAAACGAAAAGTTTCGGTAACCAAGAAACTTTTGGGTGCTTAGCTGATGTCCCTTTGTCTATCAGACAATTTATGAGTGAGTGGCCGAGTTAGGTGAAATCCGCAGCCAACATCCGCGCTAATGAACGAGCCAGGGACCTGACATGTTTGTGTAACCCGAATCCTTCAGGCGCCAGACCAATGAGGTATTGCAATGAACACCAGTTATAACGCGCCGCCACACACCACAAGCACCCTCTTGAAGGTCCTGAGGGTGTAATATACAGGGACGAACGTAGAGCGTGGGAGGGGTCGGGCGGTTCTAGGGACCTTAGGAAAAGAAACTTGACCCATCCAGCCAACCCCAATCCAGAATGCGCAGTATTACACCACCAACATCATGTTTAGGTAATCACATGATGGGGAGATATCATGAAACACTTCGAGGTGGGTGGCTGGCAAAAGTGTCACGGTAACATAGCTAGGCACAAGCTGAACGTTGAAAGCACGCACCAGGGTCTAAAGTGCTCTGCCACACGTCTGCCTTCAAAATAACAAGCGCCACTTCCGGCATCGTCTTCGTTTTGAGAATTCTTTGCATACCTCTATCCACTCCCAGGGCTTTCTCAGGCATGTTCCGAGAGATCCGCGTATCATTCCCCTGGATCTGACTTTCTTGCATAGTTTTCTGCCCTCCTTTATGCCCCCTTCCGGACCTCCTTCAACCCCCTTTCTCAGGACTGGTTCCATTTGAACTAGATATGGCCACCTTCGAGGAGACATGGAAATCATATCCCATACACTAGTGGAAGCTTGGACCGTATTTTACCCTATCCAACAGTCCACACCGTAATTACGGAGCCGTGCAGTTGAGAGTAGAGAGAACCATCATACAACTAGGCGTACACACGAGAAGGACTAGAGTTTTTTTTGCTCGCCAGTGTACTGGAGACCTGGGTTCCGGTGTTAGAACCTCTCGACGATGAGGCCTACAGGATTTCTTGGCAATCGATCCGGGGCTTTTGGGCAACACTCGAGGATGCTTGCCTGGAAGCATGAACCCATGACGACCGATGTTGAGTTCTTGCATGGTAGTTCGCAGCTTCTCCTTGGGTTGTTTTGCGTAGTCCGCGTGCCCCCGTTTTCTCAGTCAAAAAACATATATAAAGGAGCTCGTCCTACCCACCTCGATGGCTTCACTCTTCACCTTTCTTGTCAACAAACAACGATATCCCACTTCCCACAACCGACGAAGCTACCCCAAGACGATCACAAGTCAAGTCGATAACGACAAACTTCTTCAACACCAAGTCCAACAACCACAACAATATGTGCATTTCTGAAACCGACAGCCACAAACAGAAGAAAATGACTAGTGAAAGGTGATTCCAATCTCTCATCATCTCATGTTTCACTTCCACGCTTCTTCATGTCTTGCTCGTCTCATGTCTCGCCACGTCTTAAAGTGCGTTGCCTCAATGCCTCAGACTTGATCTCTGAGTACATGTCCCAGAGTCCGAAGACTCGCATGTGACCTTGTCCTTGTCATAACCCTTATCCTGATCACCAATCAGTCTGACAACGGGAAGACCGATCGATTTGGCTTCCAATGTCAGGCTGACAGGTACATCACTCCCCCTAACCCTGTACAACCACCCATTGTCTTGTCTTGTCTTGTTTCGTCTCATCTGCTCCAATTGGCTGCTTTCTTTCCATCACAGAGTTACTTTTACTTTGCGTTCAATGCCATGTCTTTCACTCAACGCTGGGACTTCATCCTCGGACTTGACCATGAGCGTCAAAGTCAACTTTAACTTCAACATTTCTCTTTTCATCCTCGGACTTTACCCTCGGACTTTGCCTTCACCCTCAAACTCAACCTTAACATCAACCGCACTTGCATTTCAGCGTTCACTTGAACAGTTCCACCATCCCCTCTCTCATTTTCTCCAACGTCCTTTTCTTATCTCGCCTCCCATCTCATCTTCAACTCCATCCCCTCAACACTTCAACCCCAAGCAACAACCAATGCTAACATTCTCAATAGCCCCCGTTACCTCCCCATCCCCACCGCTCCCGCCCCTCATGGACCCTCCTCCTCTTCTTACCGGTCCAACAACTCCTACCTCTCCAGCGGCGGTCGTACCAGGGGTGTCACCGACCCGGACGGCCTCCTCCACGGCGCTCACGAGCTCCTCCATAACACCCAGGAGCTGACCCACCGTGTTCGGGAGTTGAACATCGGAGGAGGTTCAGATGGGAACTACACCCACCGTCATCCAAGAACCTCCACTGCTCGTCAGGACTATGGCCATCGCCGCGATGATCGTCGTGATGGTCGTGACACAAACCATGGCCGTATCGACGATTATCACTATCTGGGCCGTGACCGCCGTGACCGTCGTGAGGACCGCGATGACGGATACACCCCGCGTGCCTCCACCATCACCCTTGCGCCAGCGTCTACCTCTAGAGGTACTGGTACTCACGGTCACCACCTTGCTCCGCCCAGCACCAGCCGCGGACATCCGGGCAGCCGCAACAGAGGGCCCAACAGGGAGCCCCAAGAGAGAGTGACCACCTACGTCCAAGATAACGTCATCATGCGCATCTCTCGCGGCGCTGCTCAGCATGCTCATGGTCATGGTCATCAGAGCGGCGGCGGTGGTGGTGGTGGCGGCGGAAGGAACAGAGAAGCAGTCGACGACGACAGAAGGAAGTACTACCGCGATCGAATGGCCAAGATCATCCAGGAGTTGGAGCCAGAGCTGCCTCCTCCTGCTTCTGGTCGCGGCAGTGGCATGGGTAGAGGAGCTCCCGCTGGTGGAGGTGGTGGTAGCGGAAGTGGTGGTGCCGGTTCTTCCGGGGGTGCTGGAGGCTTCGTGTACTCAGGTATGGGCATGGGAAGTGGTGCTGGAGCTGCCCCTGGTTATGGCAACACCAATGGCACTCATGGCACCAATGGCACTCATCATGGCAATACTAGTCATGATAGCGGCTATGGAAGCTTCTCCGGAAGTCCAGCTTCCTATGGTCGTGGCCACTACCATACCTAGGTTGACTTGACCAACCTAACATGCGATGTCCTAGAGGTACCTTGGATGTACGAGACATTTCTTCTCTGATTAGTGTGATACTTGGACGTACCAAGCTCGGATTCGGTGGTACCTACCCTACGATCAGCGAGACGAAAACCACCAGGTATGGAAGGAGCGATTTATGAGAGACCAGAAGGTATGATGGACTAAACAGGGGAGAAGCATAAGATATATGAAACCAATAAACAAGAGATTGTTGCGCACCGGTGAAATACATGTTCCCATTCGTTAGTTCGCGTCTTCTGGGTAGGTAGTAATGTCAGTGTTGCTGAGGAAGGTGCACGACTGGGCTTCAAATCAAGGGGCGGTGGTGGTCCAGCTACGCCAGGGGCAGGGGAAGCAGCCGTGGCTAACCTATGAAGTCGTCAAGCCGGAGAAGGGATGGACGGAAGAGAAAGCTAACAGAGATAACAGAGATTAAAAAAAACATACAACACCAGGGATTCGCTGGTCGTCACCGACCCAACTACTAGTCTGGCCCTCACTAAGCTTGTGTATGGGAGTGAGAAGGGTCTTTTAATCACGTGATAGGAAAAAAACTGGACAATCACCTCCCGTATCAAATCGTTCGTTACGGAGGCATTACGGTGAGTGTTGGAGGCGGCGCTAAAGAGATTAATACAATTGGGCAGATTACGAGAAAAATTGACCGTTCTGAAACACCAAAATTGCATTTCCAGGTTGGTCTTTGTCACGGCGCTGGCGGACCACTACATCACTAGGCTATGTTCCAAAAGGATACAAGTAACCGAAGCTGGCAATTCGGTCGCTAAAGTGGTCTTATATAGTTGTGATGGCAGTCGAGAGGCACAACTGCAAGGCTGCCATCACACGAACCAGATCATCACGATCGAAAAACGGGGCCGAAGAAGGTAATTGTTTCCTTTTCTCTGTCTCTCCCTCTCTCGTCAGTTTCACTTCTACTCCTCGCACTAAACTCGGATTCTTTTGAAGCCATTGGAAACATGGAAAGCACTCGATAAGATCTTTGTCATGAAGCTCCAACCCATGAACAAGCGGGGTCAACAAAGTTCAAGTTTCAACATACCTGCTGGTGCATACAACAGACACATGCCCGACCTCGCAGGTCACACACACCTTCCTATGTCACCGGAGATATCGATATCTCCTCCTTCTCGATCCGGACATATTTTTCGAGAGCATGAATGCCTCCGAATGCCTTCCAAACACCTAGGCACACCTTCTAGGCACGCCGGCTGAAGGACGTCCAATCGTTCGCTCGAAAGATAATCAATCGTATTCGGTCATGTCCTTTGTTGTGACAAGGGCAGTGT